CCAGGGGGGATGGCCACGCCGCAATCCCTTCTCCTCCATTCTCCTCTTGGGATCTTGGGCACGCACGTACATGCGCCCGGCATGAGTTCCAAGCCACTGGGTCCGGGACTCAAACCACGGTCAACTACATGGGAGTCCAGTGACATAGCCATTATGCTAACTGCTGGTCCCAGCCATAAACTTTCTTATACACAGCGTCATGGGTTTTTGCTCTCAGAATGAATTCTCAGTTACTTAGAAAAAGAAGCAACCCTGGGTCCAGTTTATGTTGTATTATGTATTTTGTGTTATTCCTTGTTTTCTTTTTCAGTCCTGTCTTCCTGATACCTCACTATGAACTTTGTTAGAATTACCAACAGCCTCTAGAGGGAGAATGTTAACCATGGGCTAAATTTAGCCTACCAAAAGTCTCTTCTCAGTCCCAAGAAGGATCTTTCAGGTTCTGGTTAAGATTTTTCTTTCTTTCTTTCTTTCTTTCTTTCTTTCTTTCTTTCTTTCTTTTTTTTATTTTATTATTTTTTTTAGAGGTTTTTGTTGTAGGGCATGTGCGCTCGCCAGAAAGACAGAGAGAGACAGAGAGACAGAAAGTGAGAAATCACCGGAGGGGATGGCCATGCTGCAACCCCTTCTACTCCATTCTCCTCTCAGGATCTTGGGTGCACAACGCACACATGCCGGGCGTGATTTTAAGCTGCCAGGTTCGGGACTCGAACCACAGTCGACTAGGTGGGAGTCCAGCGACATAGCCATTACACTAACTGCTGGTCCAAGATTTTTTTTTCTTTTTAAGGTTTTTTTCTTTCTCTTTTTCATGAGGAAGAGAGACAGCACCTCCAACAGGATTTTGATGCCATCCTCCACCCCATAAGCCTCAGTCAGCATTAGATCATGGGCACACATGTACCAAACATGTTCAGGGAGCCTAGAACTATGGGGGTCAGCCTCACAGAACATTGTGTTACTTCCACTGTTTGGTCCTCTAATTGAGATTTTGATTGAGACCTCCTTGAACTTGGAAGCAAAAGAGAAGTATTCTTTAAAATATGAACAGGGCTGACCCTGTAGCACAATGGTTAAAGGAGCCTGATCCCAGATGGTCAACCATGGTTTGAATCCTGGCCCCAGTGGCATGCCAATTGTGTGTGTGTGTGTGTGTGTGTGTGTGTGTGTGTGTGCATTTTTAAAATACTGTGGGAATGAAGGAAAAAGGGTTGTCATGTGATCATATCCCATTGGGGGGGTGCTTTATCCCCGCCAGAGCATGCACTCTCTGGGCAATTAAAAAGTAAGATATTGGGACCAGCAGGTGACATGGTGGTTAAGGCACTGGACTCCCAC